TACTTTTTTGTCTTTAAACACCAATGGGCTGCTGGGCCAGATGAAATTTTACCAGCACTACTTAAAGACGGTGGTGGGTCTCTGTGCCCTCACCATATTTTTGAACCTTTTTTGGAACTGCCCCGCGTTTCAGACAAGCGGAACCAATGGGCCATCATACCTCTATTCAAGAAAGGCTTCCTAAGTGTCCCAAGCATGGGGGCGCAAATCTTACCCCTTCTATAACACGGCTTGTGGCCTCAGTGCTATTATGATGTCTAGTCCTGGCACCTGAGATGCAAATTCGGCCGTGTAGAAAGTGTATTGACCACACTTTCGGGTTGCATCAAATGCTTACGCAGTGCCATAAAAAATCGTCCAGATGTAACATCATTTCGGTGCCAAGCTGCCATGCCACCCGAAGGAACAATTATGGATGGCCCTTTCGCTCGCCGTTCATCACACTCTGCTACGGATTCTGCGTGTCCTGTTTGATTAACATCCATAGACAATTCGAGGTCTGATTTCGGACTCCGAAAACCTGTTTACTTAACCCCTTTAGTGCTCGCACACCGAAGCAATCAGGACAACAGGTGGCTCTTGCTCGTGATGCAGATGCCGCCACATTTGGATGTGCTGGGTTTGGTATTGTACTGGCGACCGAGCGCAAGCTTCTCTACTTGGTCGGATACCCGCTGATGGTCGCCTCTACGTAGTTAGTTTGGCGAAGTGTATGATGGAATTTCAAGAAAGTGAAGTCTATCGCACGCTGTTTATTGTGTTCACTTACGCCCCAACTGCATGTACCTCTGAATATGCCAAAGGCAGTTTGTACGATACACTAGATGTCCTTTTACAACGGAATAAAAGTTCGGATATCGTGTTGGTTGGTAGTGAAATGGGCGCCGCTGAGGCCTGATTGGGTGGTCCTCTTGAGGTGGACTCGAGAGACGCGCACAACGGAATCCGCCTGCTTCAGATATCTGTCGATCATAAACTCTTCGTTGGCAGTACCAAAGCATAAATCGCTTGACAACGTGGTGCCTCCCGACGAACCAGTCTCGAATCCGGATAGACCACATCGCCGTCAGTTACCGATGGCGAGGGTCGATCGCTGCCTACCGCTTCCTCCAGAACACCAGCGTTGACTCCGACCATGCACTTATGCGTTGCTACATTTCATTGTGCTTTTCAGGTTTATTCAAAAAGTGCACACTTCGCTCAGTTAATGATAAGCTGTTGGAACCAGACAGAAGAACGAAGCTATCAGAGCCAGTTCCTCGAACGCCTGCCGGACGGTCCGATGTCGGATATAAACGGCCACTGCAAAAAGATACTCAGAGCCGCAACTTCTGTTTGCGGTGCAACCCAGCCAACCTCATCTGAGAATTAGATCTCTGACAGGACCGTGTCTTTGCTGCAGGATATGCGGCAGATTCCCTCCCAGCGCAACCACAACTCAACCCGAAGCATCATCCGAAGCCAGGTAAAACTGATTGTCCATGCAAACCGAGAAGTTTGGTGGACCTTAAAGGCCAAAGAAGTGGGAGATGCAAAAAGTGCTGGAAACGTCCGCAAGCTGTTCCACTTGATTCGTTCAACTGCTCGTCGGAAGCCTCTTGTCACCGAAACTCTCAGGGATCCGAAAGGCTCTTTGACACCCAGAAAAGCAGAACCTCTGAGGAGAGCTTTGTCCATCTCGTTGAAGACCAGGGCGAATCGTAAGCCTTGTTGAGTAGGCTGACCACCCCTCCACTGAAATATATCTCTGGTGCCACCAAAGACAGGCTTTACGGCACCATGAATGCTCTTTTGCGGTGGGTCACCAGCTCATATATATTGTGGTCGCCCGGAATTCTGAGTACACAAGTGGGCACGCTTAGCGCACCTGAGGCTCAGTTAAGTGGTCAACATGGGTTGGACTCGGCACGTATGGACAGTGGTGAACGATCGCCTCAGCTGTACGCTGTCTGAAAGCGGCCTTCATCCAGTGCTGAGTCCCAAAATGACCGAACTCGCCTGGCCAAAAAATTACTTCCAACGGCGTGGCATCCATTACCGATAGCGCGGTTCAATAACTGACTACCGGCCGTTTTGAATCACCTTTGTGGATTCTGACCACGCACTCGTCCGATTCACTTCTCTCTACGTTTTCCGGGGCCGCGTAAGGTGCGAAAAATCGTCCGTCAACTGAAAGACTGACAGATCCAGATGTTTCGAAGGATTTACCAGAGTCGTCTTCTAGGGTCTCTTCCAAATGCTCCATCGTCAGATGTGAATCCTAGGACGAGACGTCTTCTAGGGTCTCTTCCAAATGCTCCATCGTCAGATGTGAATCCATACTAGGACGAGATTGCGACCTCTTTGCATAGTGATGGGAATGTTGCCTGTGGCGGGGCCCGACCCAGCTCACGCGAGCAGTGGATATCAGACCGAACGGTAGCATTGCCCAAACCTCGTAGAAATATCCCATTCGGTCCAAAACCCGGTGCGAAGAATTTTCAGACGTCAGGTAAAGGCGAGCATGCGAGTCGACCGTGAAGTATGGTGGCCACAGAAAGCCAAAGAAATAGAATGGGTCTAGAAAGCCGGTAATGCCCGAATATTATTTTAGTTGATCCTTGCTACCGTATGTGAGGGAGACCATGGAGGATCGGAATGGTGTGAGAACCTTTGATGAAGAAGAACGCCTCGACCAATAAACCAAATACTTTAAGCGGCAGTTATCATGGCCACTCGGTGCCACTATTCTGGAACCCGGAACCAACGCGGAACACTTGACGACGAATGTGGAACCACTATGGTCTCGGAGGTTTATGACTCTCAAACGCCACCGGGTGTTGGTCCGGATGACCTCCCGCCAGCATTGTTCAAAGACGGGGGTAAAATCCTCAGTCGACGGTTGTTCGATCTGTTGTCCTGCATTTGGGAAAAAACTGTCCCAGAAAACTGGGGGAGTCGGTGGTAGTGCCCATTTTCAAAAAGGGCTCGTAGTTAGTGTGGTAACCACAGGCGGATCAGTTAACCCCAGTTGCAGCAAGCCTACTGGCGTCACTTGTGCTTCGTCGCCTAATAGTGACTCGTGAAACTGACTGGAGAGCAGCAAGCAAGATTCTGGCCTGGTAGGGGTTGTGTTGACTAAATCTTCACACTTCGTTAGGTCACCGACGACCCACAATTTTTGTGTTTGCTGTTTTACGAGGCTCGTTCGACTTGGTTAACCGGTCCGTTCTCCTTAACACTCTTGCTCAGCAAGGGGTGCTCCGGAAGTTTGTGAAAATAATAAGTTCTTTGCATTCGCACTTCGGACGTGTGAGAATATGCGAAGAGCTCTCCGAAAGCTTCCGTACATAAGGCGGTATTCGTCAGGGTCCTACTCTGTCCGTTCTTGTTTAATTTGTTGATTAATGAGTTATTGATCTTCAGAGCCCCGGAGCCTCTGAAAAAAACCTTGTCGATGTGGAATATGCAGATGAGATCTATCGATCTTCGAAGTGAAGAAGGCGCAGATATTTTCGGATGAACTGACCAAGACATCCCTTCCTTTGGTATGCGCTTGCACAAAGCGTGGGGTCATGCTTGTTTACATGCAACCACTGAGTACGCCCCTTACCATCTCTCGAGAGGCACTTGAGATTGAAGCGTTTCGCCTATCTTGGAATGTTTATCGGTCCTGGTTGTAGTTTGACAGATGAGGTCACTGCATGAATCTGCAAGGCTCGGGTCGCGTTTGCCATGTCGTCAGTGGCATATCCCTGAATCCCAAGGGATGGGTGTACCAGGCTCATGTGGGTTAGTATCGGTGAATCCTCAACGATGCAATTAGAAAACGAGTTCTCGGTTGTGCAAGGGGGACTTTCATTGAAGAATGTATCCAGCACCAGAAGCTGTGTTGACTAGGCCATGTATAGCGCACGCCGAACCATTGTTTACCGAAAATAATTCTGTTTCCCGTACCCAATTCGCAGTGGCGAGAATGGAGAGGTAGCAGGAAGACATGAAAGAGATTACGAAAAGTTTGGATGCTATCTGTGCCACTCGCCCTTAGGATGGGGGCCGCACACACAAGACTGTGGCCTGCAAGTAATCAGCAGCCGACAACGTCCCTTTGCCTGTGTTGTACTTGGGGAAGCCCGCTTACGGCAATCAAGAACTCTGGAATAGTGGTAATAGATTCCAATGTGTTGTTTTTTATGGCTTGGAAACCATATTCCACTACCAATCACACGATGTTCAATGTCTCCTAAAAGACCAGGATGCTTTGGCTGCATAAACCTTAACCTGAATGCATCTCAGTTCACTCGCGACTCTGATTACCGCATCTGGTAAAGCCCCGCCACCACTGCCGCTCATTGGGTCGGCAAATTTTGATAGGTCTCCAAGTTCCTGTTGCGACTGGCATGTAATTGTCGACAAGTTTACTTAAAACAGTCCCCGATTGCATGTATTTTGTCTCCGGTCTTATCCACCGCAACCAGTAATACCCCTCCACCAGATTTATGTATGACACTCGAAAATGTCGCCCTCTGTCCTTGTATGGGGATGGGGATGATATGTAGAGTCTTCTAGGTGAATAGCGTTTGATGTGTTCACCATACTCAACCTCAGTGCTTCCATATTATTCTTGTGCTGTGTGCGACCGGTCCCATTTGCTGTACATAGCAAGGTGGTCGGCATCACTCATGGAGCGCCCACTCGCTGTATTAGGAGCGGCACCAGCTAGGTAGGATTCCCTTCTGCATGCTGTACGTCATCTATCATTAGATTCAATGTCTAAAGCCTCAATTAGTTCTCTTTCGCGGCCTACACACTCTGAAATCGTAGTGTCGTACCAAACTTACCTAGCGTGATGATCGAAGTGAAAGCTCCCGCTCCTTTGGCCTTTAGACTGTCCCTTTTTGTGATTAGGAAACGTTGCAACATCCCTACTGTTGCTTCTTGTGGGATGCATAGCAATTAACTACCGAAAGGGCACCACCCCCGGGCTCGTTTTTCTGATTTTGTTCTACTAAGGGTCCTATGACGGATCGGTGAGCTTCAGATTAGATGAAACTGCTTTGGAAGACCATGTTGTTGTGTCTGTTATGTTCGATTGTGGTACATCTTCAATCATTCGACCCATTACAATGAAGGCTCTAATTTACAAGTCATTCATTTCGATTGAGTGATAGGGATCACTGCAAATACTAGTTATTGCCGGAAAACTGGACTTGGGTGCTATGGCATGGTTCTCGCCCTCCAGGTTTGTTTTCGGTTGCATGTATATCCCTCCCGCTGGTTCTCAAAACCTCCACTCACTAAGAATTGTTTGCACTTCCTTCCTCAATTCCAAAGCATGGTGATAAAAGTGCTGCAAGGGGTTGATCCAAACCGGAAGTGCATGCGGATTATTGGCAACGTCCTGATCGAGCGACGGGTGAAGGATATTCTTCCTGCTCTAGAAACTAATGTTCAAAAGGTGCGTTGCATTCTTTTCTCCACATTGTATTGCAAGAATACACGTCCGTTAACCGGCGAACACCTCACCGTTAGCATCGATCGTTCTACGTAATTACATTTGCCAACTGCCCAGTCTATTGGATAAGTGGATTTTTATCCGACAATCATTACAGTTTGTCTTCTCTCAGGAACTGCCCTTACAAACTGTCTGGTATCGGCATAGTTTGCCCATTGCGTATGTGCAAATACCTGTCTCCGGTTTGCTGCCTCTAGTTAACATGATGTATGTCAACTGTAAACGGTTTATCCTAACCATGCTGTTAACTGTTTTTAGCTAGTCGTCTGATCCAACGAGCCGTAGTTTTGAAATCATGCCCTTGTGTTAGCCAAACTGTAGCCTGTTTTATTAATGAACCCTTTCGTCAAGCAAATCCAACCTCTCTTCTTCTCTGCTCCTCTCTATAATGGGTAGCTTCCCATCTCATTCCCTGATATTCTTCCGAAAATGAAGTTCAACACTTCAACTGCCTCAAGCATTATCTTATCACTGCCTATCAAGTAGTTTTCGAACTGATTGTTATACTAACTAGTCGTTATATACAGCTGATTTCAAAGGTTTGTGCTGTTTGTTGAGTCAATCATTAATCAAAATCATCTGCGTGAAAAGTACTTACGCTCGGGATTTCTTTAGCCTTATGGCACACTCGAAGCTTTCGTGTGATGTTTTGATTGCATTGCGATCAAATGCGTGCTTTGTATGTGGGTTACCACTTAATTATCATTTAAGAAACTGATTCTTCAACGCTTCATCATATTCTGGACTGAAACTTCTGTTTAACAGATTGTTCCAGGAATTCGTCATTTTGCTCAAATTTCGGTTACTGAAATCATCCTGAAGTTGCTACATTAGCAGCGAAGATGTCTTTCTCCCTCATTGCGCTTATCGCTGCCGGATTGATTTCTATCAGGATTGAAAATTTACGACTTGGTAGTTGGTCAGGTGGCTGTTGATCTGTTCACCGAGCTTGGCAATTGATTTGCGAACGTTTCGTCACCATTCGAGGAAATCATCATCATCATCATGCTGTCGATGAGGATGACGATGATGATCTCGAATGGTGACGAAACGTTTGCAAATCAATTGCCAAGCTCGGCGAACAGATCAACAGCCACCTGACCAACTACCAAGTCGTAAATCTTCAATCCTGATAGAAATCAATCCGGCAGCGATAAGCGCAGTGAGGGAGAAAGACATCTTCGCTGCTAATGTAGCAACTTCAGGATGATTTCAGTAACCGATTCGAGGAGACATCTTCAGTGCGCCAACATTCCAACGATTTACGACTTGTTCTACATTTAGGTTCATAGTGCTCGGTAACAATTCAAGAATATTGCTTGAACGTCAGCTGCGTTGTTACTTCGGTTGCTGTGAGTTCCGTGCGGCTAGGGATCCTACAGGACGATTGAAGCTATCGGACTACACGCAGTTAGTATTCGGTAGGCAGTAGTAACAGACGGATTGTAGCAGTAGATGCTGCACTGAGAACTATTTTTTTATAACGAAAAATGGATTAATAAACATCATGAATTAAGCAGGGCGTGTAATCGACAATGGCGCAATCGGTAGTGGCGGGAAAAAAGACAGTAACTCTACGGCGCTTTCTGGAAGCAGTGGCTAGTAAGTACTGGATGATACACAAATGTACACCACTGGTAGTGTAAATGGGCCTTATACAGGAATCACGGCATAGATGATAGTCAGTACGTTCGGGAGGTAATGGCAAATGTCTGGAAGACGGGTATCAGGTGAACTTGGCACAAATTAAATATACCTGCACTCTAACTGACAGTTGACGAAGCAGCACGTGTCAAATCGGAATGTGCGCTTGGGCTCGTCCAAAACAACATCCCCACAAACATTATCAAGTGAGATGCAATACAAAAAATATGACCTCCGGAGACGCCGGGTTGGCGGAGCGGGTAACGAGCTGGTCTGCCATCCGAGGGGTTCCCGGTTTGATCTCCTCTCTAACCTGCTTCTTCGTCGAGGCAGACGCTCGAAAATTGGCAGAGTTGATATGAAATTACAAACAAAATTGGACAAGTGACAAGTGCTCGACCTTATTAACTAGATGCTGAACAGACCTTAAGCAGGAGTAGAAGCCAGACGGTGTTGTATACGAAAAGCTTGCTCACGAGTAGGCAAACAATTAGGAGAAATAGCCGTTATTCATGGGAGGCATCAATAGGAACCATTCCTTCTTGTAGCTTCTACCGGCTCGATCGTGTGCCTAGGAACAACGAACATAGTGGAGATCTCTTACTTTTATTCGCCAACACTAGATATCGTGCTCTTCTTTTTGCTATATTGTTGTGATCCGGTTGAATGTTTGATGGTATCCCGTAGACCTAGAATCCCGCCCATTTGTCTCGAGATTCGATTCAATAATTTGTAAGTCGTCCCGTCATTTCGTCCGATGCACAAAATGCGCCCCTAGCATTGCTGATCTTTTATCATGGCAGGCGAACTTAATATGGTCATTTTTCTTTCATGTCTTTTTGATATTTTACCTCTGAGCGCTCGAGGTTTTATGTCCTGCCGGTCATGTATTTCACTTTGCATTATCGTCTGTTCATGAGTTCCGCCCACAGGTTCGTCTATAGGCGATGTATCACTTTACATGGTTGTTAAAAGCTTCTATGGTGGCTTCTTTGCCCTCCGTTGAGCACATACTCCACACGGAACATTTCCTCGAATTTCGTAGTGCAGTCTCTAGTTTAGACATAATCATCGTCATCGACAGCATGACGTAAGTGTTCAACATGGATGTTTCACTGCCTAACAACCATGATTTATTCGAAAAGCCTAGTCGTAAAGAAAAGAATAAAGGTGGGGACTTATTGCTAGCTTACCACAATCATTCCGAGGTGCCTACACCTCCAGACATTCACTTGGGCACTCTGGATAAAAACTGACAACAAGAACGCCACTGACATCGGTTGGCAGCCACATCTTGTAGTGTCTCCAACCAGGCGCAGTGAGGAACACGCGGTGCCCATCCTGGAAGGCAAGTAGCACCGACAACACCCAAGCGTTTCGTGATCTCCTTCACACTCTGCCAAGTTAAGGATTGGCCACATCTCTGCTTACGCAGAGATGGACATGGAAAGCAGCACTTTCTTCGGCAAACGATGGTTGAGCATACGCAACACGTGTCCTAACCAACGCATCTTCTGGTGCTGGACACATTCTTCAATGAAAGTACCCGTGGCACAACCGAAAACGCGCTTGCCAACTGCCTCGTTACGGACTCGCCGACACCAGCCCACACGAGACAACGGTTGTCGAACACCTGAAGACGTCTCAGTTCCGCTGTTCGAACAGGCCAAGTCTCACAGCCATACGACAAAACAGCCCGTACTGTAGCTTGATACAGAAGTCCCTTGAGATTAGGGGATGAGCCACTGCGACGCCATAGGTGTCTCCAATTAGTAAACGCGACCGGGTGTCGCATGCCATAAAAATGGTCCCAAACAAACGCAGAAAGTTGGCAATTAGATCAACTGATCGTCAGACAGGACTGAAAACAACCGTGTTATTTCTGTCGCATGGTATCCAATTTATATATATATATATATATATATATATATATATATATATCCGAAAT